TGTATCCACCTATACGAGAAACATTAACAACTACTCGATAAGTCAGTTTACATGTCTGTTAAGTTATGAAAATTGGGAAGATGTTTTTCTTGAAACCAATGTCAATGTAATTTTTAATAATTTTCTCAACACATTTCTAAGAATCTTCTATTCATGTTTTCCTGTGAAAAAATCCCAGTACTCTTATAAACAAAAACTATGGCTAACTACTGGTATTAGAATTTCATGAGCAAATAAAAGGAAACTTTATCTAACTTACAGAAATAATAATGATTTAAATTTCAAGGAATATTACAGGAAATATTGTCGAACCTTGGCTAGGGTCATTATGGCAGCAAAAAAATTTTATTATAATAAACTTCTATTAAAATCTAATAATAAGACTGAACCCACTTGGAACATACTTAAAACCATTACTAATAATAGAATTCCTAGTAATAATATATCCTCAATGACAATAAAGGATAAATTATCATGTAATCCATTAGCCATAGCAAATGCATTTAATACTTACTTTTCATCTGTAGCTGAAAATTTACTTACCAAAAATGTCTCTAGAAAAACCATTATTAATAATAAAGATTTCTTATCTTATTTACATCAGAATTTCATACAGTCGTTTTCAACGATGAAACTCAGAAACACTACCACTTATGAAATTGAAAAAATAATACACTCTTTGAAATCTAAGAATTCTCATGGGTATGATGAGATATCATCAAGANGCATAAAACAAATGCATGTTCTCCGGTTTCAAGGCTGTTATGAACGAGTAGCCTCGCTCCAATTGAACGTAAATATCGCGCAAAATCACGAATAATTTGTGTGAGGGCAACAAACTGGCAGTCAATCGATGTAACGTTGCCATATCTAAGCTTAAAGCTAAGCTTGTTAAATCTGTATAAATTTTCATTATTAGTATTTCTAATTCCCTCGTGTAACTGGCTTTCCTTACGGAGTTAGTTAGTTGGTCCCTTGTTTGGTTAATCTTCTGATCTAGCGTGAGCTGCTCCCTAACCAGTTCCTCATGGTGCAACTTCATTGCTCGCACCATCTGAGCTAATGTTTTGGCGTTTGCCCTTACTCGCGAATCCATTTCGCGGCTAACTGTTATGCGTTCCGTGGCGTCATGTACTAATTCTCCTACTTTATTCCTCAAGGTTTATATCCTGTCATTTAGTGGTCTCAAATCTTCATTAAGTGCTGCTCCGAAAAGAAATTTAAGTGTTCTTCCTCCTAGGCCAAACACTCCCCTGCGAACTCTCTGATCCCGTGGCAACATTTGGAGGATATTGTCTACTTTCTCCTGCAGCTCTCCTGCTATTTTGTTCACGTATCTAAGCTCTTGTCTTTGTACTAGGTCTCTTCCTACATTGACGGTGAGATACTCTAAATCTTTGATTAGTTCTACTATCACTCTGGCGTGTTCCGTCACGCTAAAATCTACCGTGACCTATCACACGGCATCTCTTACAAAATCTCGCGTTCGCGCACAAGCGCATCCCTCTATTCATCTCGAGCCCTACGGCTCCGTTAGTTTCAGGCTTCTCTCCACCTGAAGACATAAGAAGTGCGTCAGTTTCCGTTACCTCTGCACTTGCTTCGGCCTCCGGCCGTCTTTATTCTTTATAATTACGCCGATCTCGCGGTCGTAACGAGTAACCGTGTCGTTCTTCACTGAACGTGTCCATCTCTGTCGTATTTAATGCTGACGGACCATCATCGTGCGTTTCGCTAGCGTCTTCTCTCTCGCTCCCTCTAGCTGTCTCTTTTTCCTCTACAGCTGGAGCATCTGGGCTTGGTGCTGACGAGCTACCATCACATGCCCCAACAACTTCTCTCTCTTCCGCTGGAGCATAAGTGCTGACTCTGCGGTTTGATCCAGATGCCTCTTGACTCTCGTAAGGAGTGGGCATGTATTGAGGCGCGTACGCATCTCGCAGCGTTTCCTCTCCGTCGCTCGACGCTGAATCATCTGGGTTCGTCTCTCTTTGCCCGAACCTGGGTCCTTGTTCCCTCATTCTCTGTCGGTTTCGCCTCTCGTAAAGCGTGCACGAATATGGAGGCCTCTCGCGGCACTCTCCTTCCGATTCGGATTCGTCGGAGTCTTCCTCTCTCCATAAGTTGGGCTTCTGTTCTCTCATACTCCGTCGATGTTGCCTCCGTCTCTCACGGAGCTCCTCTCGTGTGGCTCTGCATAGCTTCAGTTGCTTTATGTACAGATTTACTTCTCTTTTCCCTATTTGTATCCTGTACACTAGGTCAGAGATTTTCGTATCACCTGGTACGGACCTAACCATTTAGGTTCCAGCTTTCTTCCCTTTACCATTTGTTTTCGGTATACCAGCTGGCCGGGCCGATACTCCATCCTTCGTGCTTTCCGGTCGTGGTGAACGCGCTGGTCCCTTCTCACTTGGCTCAGCTTCCTCCTTGCAATTCTATGTGCCTTTCGTAGTTGTCCGGCCAATCTGCTTACGGCCTCTCGCGCGCCGTCTTCCCTGGCGTTCCTCTTTTCGTAAGCGGTCAACTCTCTGTCCGCTGGGCCCTTCATTTCCGTACCGTGCGTTAAGTGGTAGGGCGAATACCCGGTGCTACCGTGTGGCTGCGATCGGTATGCCCATAGAACTAAATTGAGATGGTCGTCCCAGTTCGTCCCACTGGGTTCCGCATACATAGCCAGGCCCGCATGTAGGGTGCGGTGAAACCTTTCCACCTGGCCGTTGCTTTGGGGTCGGAACGGACTGGTGAATATTTTGTCCACTCCTAGGAGTCGACAAGTCTCTCGGATTAATTCTGATGTGAAGTTCCGCCCTCGATCGCTCAGGAGTTTATCTCACACTCCATGGCGCGTAAAGATGTGCATGACCAGGGCGTTAGCTACCGTGGCGGCTTCCTGGTTAGGGAGGGGCACTGCCTCAGCCCACTTCGTGAAGTGATCGAGGTAGGTCAGGAGGTATCGGTTACCTCTCTTGGAAGTGGCGTAGGGTCCTGTGATGTCGATCGATGCGACTTCCCCTGGTTCTCTGGCCTCCGGTAGGCCACCCATGGGCGCTGTAATCACGCGGCCCGTCTTCAAACGAGCGCATTGGTCGCAACTCAGAAAGTAATCCTCTACGTCCCTGTGTAAGTTAGGCCAATAGTACTTCTTTCGAATCAATTTCTGTGTCTTCTTGACTCCAGCGTGCGCAGCGAATTTGGCATCGTGGTGGTCCCTTATAATCCTACCCACCAACGTCTCCGGCATTACTAACCGAGGCGTTCCTTCCTGGTCCTTCCTAAATAACAGGCCGTCTTCGTCGATTATGTACTCTCTCCGTGAGTCGAGGTCCTCCTTCACTTTCCTGCAAAATTTATCTAGCTCCTGTTCTGCTTTCACTTCGGGTCTGGTTACCTGTCCTTCCACCGTGAGGGTCCCTATATGGCGAGACAAGGTGTCTGGCTCGCAGTGGTGTTTCCCGGTCGGTAGAGTACCGTATATTCGATCTCTGATAGGCGGAGAGCCCATCGGGTGAGTTTCGCAATCGGGTCTTTTAGTTTCAATAGCCAGCATAAAGCTCGGTGGTCGGTTACGAGCGTGAACTTGCGACCGTACAGGTAGCACCGGAACTGTTTAGTTCCGTACACTACTGCTAATAGTTCTTTCTCTGTGACTGACAGCTTCTTCTCAGCAGGAGTCAACTGTCTACTGGCGTAGCTAATCGGACGTTCTTTCCCATCCTGCACCTGGGCTAGGACTGCTGAAATTCCCTGGTCACTCGCATCGGTGTGCAACCTCAACTCGTGGGAGGGGTCCATACTGGGGTAAGCAAGCACAGTGTCTGAACTGAGCTCTGCTTTCAAGCGACTAAATGCCGTTTCTTGTTCTTGGCCCCACTGAAACTCGTGGTCCTTCTTTGTTAGTACTGTAAGGGGTCGGCTAATGTCTGCATAATTTGGAATATACTGCCAGTAGTATCCGCTAAGTCC